ATCACCTGTCCCCAGTCTACACCATCACCTGTCCCAGTCTACACCAACCATCACCTGTCCCAGTCTACACCATCACCTGTCCCCAGTCTACACCAACCGTCACCTGTCCCCAGTCTATCCCAAGCATCACCTGTCCCAGTCTACACCATCACCTGTCCCCAGTCTACACCAACCATCACCTGTCCCAGTCTACCCCAAGCATCACCTGTCCACATGCTCCACCTGAGCCATCTCCTGTCCCACATCCCACCTGAGCCATCATCACCCCCTAAACTCAACCTCCATCACTGTCCCCATGCTCCACCCAATTATCACCACCTGGGACCCAGACCCCAACGTACTGTTCCAGTCATCATGGTCCCTGTTCTTGCACCCCAATTCTCACCTAAACCCAAACATCAACATTTCATTCCCTACTTCCCTGCCCCTAACATTCTATGTGTAATTCTATTCCAAACACTGTTACTTTTCCACACATCGCTTTGTCCTGAGCACCAGCCCCCCTCCTGGGAAAAGCACTGGCTGTGTCCATGTCCTGTCCCCACTGTGACAAGAAACACTGTTGCCTGGGCTCTCCCACACGGTCGGTCCAGGCTGTCTCTGACGTCCCCTTCCTCCCATCCTGTCCCCACTGAGCCTCTCTCCCTCTGCAGGTCACCTGCCTGCCCTAAGCTGCCCTGTCCTGATTGAGAGCTCCAGGGACGGTGCCTCCCTTTCAACTCTGGGGCCCTGGGTGCCTCGGGCAGCCGTGGGAGCCAGAGGCCCCAACCAGGACAGCCTGCTCTGTCCAGACCCCTTGCTGTCCCCGTGCCCTTCATTGACACAGGGAGACAGAGAAGTTCCACTTCTCCATCAGGTTGCAACGTGTAATGAACTCAAACACTGCTATCTCTAAACTCAATCCAGCTCTCCAATAATCCTAGGGTATAGAGGCAGCTACCATTCCCATCTGACAGATGGGGAAACTGAGGCTCAGAGGGGGGAAGTCAGCTGGCCAAGGTCACATAGCTTGAGAGGGGCAGGCCAGGTGCTGAACCCAGACAGTCCACTCTGGGGTTCGCTTTCTTCACTGTTCCCCTACACTATCTCAAGCCCCCCAATAATCCTAGGGTATAGAGGCAGCTACCATTCCCATCTGACAGATGGGGAAACTGAGGCTCAGAGGGGGGAAGTCAGCTGGCCAAGGTCACATAGCTTGAGAGGGGCAGGCCAGGTGCTGAACCCAGACAGTCCACTCTGGGGTTCGCTTTCTTCACTGTTCCCCTACACTATCTCAAGCCCCCCATTACCATCAAGTTTATGAGGTTAACATTTATTTTATTAGCTGTGGGCCAACTCCAGCGCTAATAAGCACCTCACCCACATTCAAACCCCACAGCAGTCCCGTGTGGGAGGCCTCTGCTGCCCCATGCTCCAGAGAAGAAGACTGAGGCTCGGAGAGAGAAGGTGACTGTCAAGGTCACGTCCGGTCACAGGTGCCAGAGGCACAAAGGTCCCCTCTGAGTGGGCAGCAGGAATGACCAGTGCCCAAGCCCAGACTCTGGGCTCTCTGCGCCCTCAGCCCTCACCTTCATGCAGTCATCTCCCACACCTTGCAGGTTCGGGCAGGTGATACACCTCGCCCAAGGTCACAGGACACACTAAGCTGGGCAGGGACTCGAACCTGGGTCTCCTGGCTCCAGTGGAAGCTCTGAGTGCTTCTCCATAAAGCGCCCTGCCCCTGCGTGGCTCATACACTAGGCCTCCTCCCAGGGGGCAGGGAGCGGAGATCCCGGGGCCTGATAAAGGTATCACCACTGAGCTCACAGCGCAGAGCAGCGTCTAATCAGGCGGCACCAGGGGGCCCACCTGGGAGTAACGTGGCACGCCCTGGAAGGCACTGTGGCTAAGACCCCTGCAGGGGGCAGCTGGGGCAGTGAGTGATGAAGCCCCCAGGGGCCGGGGGAGGGAGCTAAAATTGGCCAGCACCACCAGCAGGCCAGGCTCCCTCCTGCCTGCCTGGTGCCCCTTCTCCACTGTGCCTGTTGCTAGGGAATCTCTGGAGGAGCAAAAGCTGGGTGGCAGGGACCCCAGAACCTGGAGTGGAAGCGCATGACCCTGAAAGGCTGTTGTCATGGCAATCAGGTGGAAGGGCAGGATCTGCCAAAAAAAGACCTCAAATTCTAAAGGTTCTCCCCAAAAACAGACAAGCAAGTCATGCTGACAAACCCCCACTGAGCCCCTAAAGGAAGAGGTCTCTCTGAGCCCCATGTCACAGATGAGAACACCAAGACTCAGTCAGAGGAGTGAGGTCAGACAGGTAGGGAGGCGCAGAAACAAGGCCTGACCCCAAGTTAATCTGAACAATTACAGTAATAGCTACTATGACGGCAGCACTACCATAATCACAACATCTGGGTTCCTTTACAATGTCCTCAACAGGGAGGTGCCATCAAATCCCATTTTAGAGATCAAGAAACTGAGGCTCCCAGCTCGGAGCCCTGGGCGGGGAAGCCTGACAGGTGGCCTGACTGACTCACAGCCCATGTCCAAACCACCGTTTCCTAAATCCCACGCCTGACCCTCACTGCCTGGAATTAGGAAGCATGCCCATTTCCCAGAGCAAGAAACTGAGGCTCAGAAAGATTTTTAAAAAGTGTCAAATTGCAAGACAACACACAGCAAGCTCCTAGCAAAGTCAAAAGAAGAAGCCAAAACTACAGTGGTCAGAGGACAGGTGAGGGGCTCAGAGGCAGGCACAGGGGTCAGGGATCTCTTATCAGACTTCAAACTGGAGATCTTTGTCAAGGAGGGTCCTGTGAGACTAAGAAGGGGCAAAGACGAAATTGCTTAGGTATTTGAGATGAGGGCAGCTGAGGGGCAGGGACCTGGCAGAGAGGGCAGGGAGAGAACAAAGACCCCGGCTGGGGAGGGGTCTGGGATTGGCTGGTGGGAAGGTTTTGGAAGGCATACATAGGGATAGGGAAAGGGGGAGTGTTCTGGGATTGTCTGGGATGTGGTGTAAGGGCATCTGGGGGAGAGGATTTGGCTGGGATTAGCAGGAAGAAACACAACCGCAAGGCTAGAACAGCATTTAGTTGGAGAAGCAACTCAATTCAGAGAAAGGGTTCCTGCAGTTGCAGGAACCAGGGAAGGGTCTGGGGCCCCAGGGGTCCTGAGGAAGGGGTTTTGGGTACAAAGGAAAGTCTAGAGAAACCAGGGCTGAGCTGGGCCCGCGGTGTTTGAGGGGGGGCGGGGAAGGCAGTGTCAGGAGGCCTAGAAATTTGGGGAGAAGATTCCAGTTCTTAAAGCAGAGCGTTTTTTAAAAGCCAGACAGGAGTGGCAGCTGAGACCAAGAGTCTTCTAGAAAAGGCTGAGAAGGAGGGCTGAGGAGGGGTCTCTTCCCAGTAAGGCAGGTAGAGAGGCCTTGGGGTAAGACAAGGGGTAGGGACTGGGAGTTTAGGGGGGAGAGATGGTGTCCTGCGAGGAGGGGGCCTGGGCGGGGGGCTGACAGCAAGGGGGCAACGGGAAGGGGATTAAGGGAAGGGGCTGGCCTGGAGCTAAAGGGGTGCTGAGGCCTCCAGTTAGGTAGACCAGGGCCTGCAACTCCCAGACAGAAACAAGGGGCCTGCAACTCGGAGCCTAAGGCTGTCTGGGAGAGGAAGAGGCCTGAGAGGGGGTCCGGGCGGGGTCTGGGGGGCGCCCGGATTTCTGGGAAGCCAGACACTGGGTTGCTGGGAAGATGAGGTCCAGGCCTGCCAGCAGAGTCCTTGAAAGAGCAGAAAGAGGCCCCGGGGCCCCGGCAAGGTGGGGCGGAAAGGTGGGACCGGCTTCCTGTGAAGGGCTGCCCAGGGGGCCCAGGAAGACCCCCCCCCCCCCGGAGCGGCTGCAGATGGGAGGGGGAGCTTCGGAGCAGCGGGGCGCCGGCCGGCCGGGAAAGGACGAGCCAGAGCGGGGCTGGGCCAGGCCTCGCTGGGAGCGGGCCAGGGCTGGGCCTTGGGGGTCTGGGGCGCTTCTAATCCGGGAGCAGCGCGCTGTGCGGGCGCCAGCGGCCAGGAGGGGAAGGGGCTCCGAGCACGCCGGATAAGGGAGGGGCTCCTGGCAGGCAGAGGAGGGGGCTTCCTGGAGGGAAGAGACCCGAGCGGAAGCTGCCGGCAGAGGGGCAGAGAGGGGTCCCTGGAGAGGGGTGCCCCCAGGGGTCGGGCAGGGCCGGGGAGGTGGGGAGGGCCGAGTGGCCTGGCAGGGAGAGAGGGAGGGAGTCGGGAGTGGAGAGCGCGGCGGGCCCGGCGAGGAGGGCCAGGGCTCGCGGGGTTCCAGCCACCGCGTCTGGACAGGGCTGGGGCTCCCCAAGGGGCCGGGCCCCACTCACCGTGTCCGAGTTCCGATCGTTGCCGGGAGCCAGCGCCGTCCGCGAAGACATCTTCTCCGGGTCCCGGGGTCGGCCGGGTGGGGGGGGCGGGGGTCCAGGGGGGGTGTCCCCTCTCGTCCCCTCCCCCCCCGCCGGCCTGGGGGCGCGAGCTCAAAAGCTGGGCGCTGAGGACGCCCGGGTCCGCGTCGTGGGAGAGGAGGCAGGGCGGGGGGAGGGGAAGGGACGCCGAGGGTCCTAGTGGCTCCACGCAGTGGGGGCTCCGGGTGTCATGAGGGCAGCGGGCAGGCGGGCTGGCGGGAGGGGGCGCGGAGCCGGCCCGGGCGGCGGTGGAGGGAGGTAGTGGAGGGGTCGGGGAGGAAGGGACGTCAGGGGGAGGGGCGGGGGGGGCGGGGCCGCGGGAACCCCGCCCCCCGCCGCCGGCCCTTAAAGGCGCAGGCCCAGGCCAGGCGGGGCCTCTGGGGGCGGGGGCAGGTCCAGGCGCGCTGGTGGGGAGCATGTTCTCACAGGAGAGTGGAGACTCCCCGGAAAAAGAAGGCAGGGGAGAGAAAAGCGAGGCGGGGCGCCAGAAAGGCAGAGAAAGAGATGGGAACCGACAGACAAGACTGACACAAAGAGTGAGGCGGGCAGAGAGACAGAGACAGGTAGGGAGAGACACGCACAAAGAGATGAAAAGAGAGACCGAGAAGTGCAGAGACAAAAAGACGTAGACGCAGAGTGAGGCACATAGGGAGAGAGACATCTGAAAGAGACAAAAAAGTGAATGATACAGAAGGACGTGGAGAGAACTAACGCACAGCGACGCTCGGAGACCGAGAGAGCCACAAACAGAAAGAGATGCAGAGACTTAGGGAAAGAAAGGGCAAGACAGGGACGCACAAGTCCCCAGAGCCAAGGACCTGGCAGATGTCACTGCATACATTCTCACTTTCGTCCCACCCAGCGAGGGGGTCTCGAACGTCCTTTCTTTGGGGTACAGAGGGCAAAGGGGGCTGGGAGGGGGATGGTGTGCTGGGCGGGGCACTGCAGAGGCCCTGAGCCACCTCTGGCAGTGCTGCAGCCCACCTGCAGGGGGCCCCGGCCCCGGAGCGTGGGGGCTGCAGCCGCCTCTGCCCTGCTCTGCACCCAGGCGGGGTTCTGAGTGACCTCTCTGCCCGGCTGTGACTCGGCGCAGGCACTTGGAGTTATCGGGCCTCAGTTTCCCCATCTATCAAACGATCAGTTGCCAAGGAGCTCTATAGAGCTGTTCATGCACACGGCGCTGCCGTTCTCCGGATGGACAGCTGAGGCCAGAGAGGCAGTGTGGCTTCTCTGGAGGTCACATCTTTCTTCGGAGGTCCTCATGCCCTAGCCCATGAAAGAAGCAAGAACGCAGTGCGCGCCTGGGCCAGAACACCACACATCCGCCACGCAGTCCATGCCCTGCGCCTTCCCTCGCCCTGCCACCTTCCTGTGCCTCAGTCTCCCCTTCTTCAAAATGGGTAGGATGATGGCAGCCGGGCGCTGGAGCCAGTTTTCTTGAGAGCCAATTGTTAAAGTCGGAATTTTAGAAGCTGTTTGTTACACACAGTCGTTATGAAAGATTAAATTGTGTAAACGTGCAAGGAAATCAATTACACTTGAAATAAAGCCAATCCCGTTGCTGTCAGTCACATCAATTCTGACTCACAAGATTTCGCGTGTTCCAGGGCAGAGCTACCCTACAGAGTTTTATTGGCTGTGGTCTTTATGAAAACCAATTGCCAGGCCTTTCCTCCACAGCCTTCTGGGTGGGTGCTCATAGCCAGGGTTTAGTCTAGGAATTGAATGGAAACTGTTTGCACTGACTACCCAGAAGCTCATTTAAAATAAAACTGATAAATATTCATCACGCCCTAATTAGTCTACTCTTTTTTTACTCTTTATGCTCTTGACGTTACTTACACGGCCTGGTAAACTAGTGCATTGATTGGTGTTGGACAGCAAAGGAAAAGGTTGGCAGTTCGACTCCACCAGCCACTCCTCAGGAGACAAGGCGGTCTCTTCCTGCAGAATTTTAGCCCCAAACTCTTAAAACCTGGGTCCTTAACAACAGCGGTTTCCTGTCTGTGGACATTATTAACCTCTCACTCACTTTCATTGTCGTGGAGTTGGAACCCTCTCCAGTGGGTTTTCAGCGACTGTGAATTGCACTGGAGAAGATTGCTCACCTGTCACCCACGGAGCAGCTGGAGGATTTGAATTTCCTGCCTTCAGATTGGCAGCGCAACTCTTCACCCGCTTAGACTACCGCAGCACCCTAGTATTAACCTCAGTTGCTAACAAATCCAGGAGAATGTAAAGTGTGTCACGTGGGGTTATGTCGTATTTATAAGTGCTGACACTGTTACTATCATGACTCTGTAGATAGAGCCTAAGGATTCTGAAGAAATACAAAGAACGAGGCATTCAGGATGATATTTGGGAAGCTGAGTGATCCTACAGGCTTTTTAGAGTGTCATTGGGGTGGGAGAGAGGTCCACTTTTTAAGGGGGAGGGGGTAACAAGAGCTGCAGTTCCCCAATGTACCATGAGGGGGCAGCAGATCCCCTCATGTACACCTCACTCATTCAAGACGCGCTCCTCTCCCACCCTCCCCTGCTGGTGTCCCCACCCCATTTCCCAGATGCCGAGACTAAGGCTTAGGGCAAGAATGAGTGTTCAATATCATGAATGAAAGTTGAAAACATTATGCTTAAACATGGAAATCAGCCACAAAAAAAAAGCATTCACAGCATGATTCCAGAAAGGCCACATGCATAGAAGCAGAGATTCGTCGGGGG